AAAAATATTCTTCAAAACCTGAAAATTTTTAATTTATTGTTGATTTAAAACATAATCTGCAAAACTCCAAGATTATTGGCCAGTTGGCGATTAAGAATATTCTAAAAATATCCAACGTTGTGTGATCCTCAAAATTACTTTTAAGATTCCGCGATCTCTTTCTTATTGCAATTGAATACTTTTAAAAATTCCAAAATTAATGGGTTTGAAACAAGTTTTCATAAAAATCCACGATTATTGGTGTTTTGTTAAATGTCCCTCCAAATTTTATGTTACCACTGTCCCTCTAAATGTTCGCTCCTAGCTCTCCCCCTAAAACTGATAAGGGAAAATGAATGACTGCTGTTACACTGTCACCGCACAACACGTTTATAATCTTCACTCGCTTGTTGCTTTGCAAAAGGAATTTCTCTACACCAACAAGATACCAGGCCAAACAGCAGCCAACATACATCGCTGGTGGTATCCTTGTGGACATGTTGTAGTATCTTTCCTTTTGTGTAGCCACAACTGGTTCCATTGCTGGCATGCATGTATGCTGTAGTGGCTGTTGGGGATAAGTTCAAATTCACACATTGCCATTCGTCGTCGTCACCGCCAAGGAATTCATGCCGAGTTGGAGAGTTTTAGTGTGTATGTGTGTGAGTGAGTGAGTGAATGGTATGCAACTGTGTTGTGGTTGGTGTCCGGGTAAGAAGTGTGAGCAAAAAAAGAAGACAAGAATGTGGTGTACAATAACAAAATATGTCCTTTCAATACAATTCATCCATCCATTCAGCCGTCCATTCAGCCGTCCATTGGGTACATATCTAGCAAACACACACATACATACAGAGATCATATGTTGTTCTGTGTTGTACTGACTGTTTGGTTGCTGAGCGTGTATGGCATTGCTGCTTACGCTTCGTTACATCCATTCTTCTTGTTCTGATTTTTTATTCGGTTTTTTTTTGTTGCTACCATTGTTGTTGATAGTGATTCTCTTTCGTTGAACGTGTGTGGGTGTGAGTGTTTTTTGGCAATAATCTCAAAAAAACGAACAACAAAATGTTATAAATCATATCAAAAGTGCATAAATGGAGGAGGCATGGAAAGAACAGGAATGAATTAAAATCAGGTGAGTCGATACAATAGCTAGTGTGTATGTGTGTGTGGGAGTGGATGCATTCAGAGAGAGACCTTGAATAGTTTTGTTTTTCCATTTTCATTTTCCTCTTTTTCTCTTTGCTTTGTTGCTCTGTTTCCATCCATGTTAACATCATTTAAATACAAAACAAATGAATTCGAACAACCAAAAATGACCTGTTCGTCCACGTTGCTGTGCTCTGCACACAATGAATGCAAATGGTCGAACAAGCCAAGTTTTTTTCCCCACTTTGGGAAAATGATAATCAACCCAAAAATTATTTTTGGCCAATTCCATTGTGCCACTGGCTGGGTGAATGTGGTGTGGTGGCACCCGTTCCTATCAAAAATCGTTTCACATGTTTTATTTATCAGTTTTAAGTACAAATATTACCATTGGAGGTTATGTGAGCTTTTAACCAGACAACATATGTCCTGAGAATGGAAATGTGGAGAATTATTGCATAATACAATATAAAAAAGTCAAAGACTATATAATACCCTACACCAGTATCAATATTTAGTAGAGCTCCCGTAATACATAATCAGTTATAAGTTAGTTTCAAAGGAAGCTAATATATATGGGAGGCATATTCAATTCTGTATCGATTTTCACCAAATTTGACGGAGACATTTTTATCTTTAAAACAAAATAACATTGGTATAGAGATATATAGAGATATAGATAAAAACAAGTAAAAAAGCTGTAAGTGCGGCCGGGCCGAACTTTGAATACCCCCGTCTTCCTCCACAATCTGGAACGAATTTGGCAATTTTCAAAAAAATAAAATCCGTTAAAAATTCTGTTAACCTCTTAAAAACCTGCATAGGCAACTTCTGTCACAAGCCATTACAATATTCAAATGCGAAACTTAAAAAAACGGTGAATTATGTAGCTAAAATCATCAAAACACCAAATATTGGGAGGTACCGTTATATGAGGGCTATACGAAGACGTGGACCTGCACAGACAATTTTCTGTCATAGGCTGTAGTATTGATTTCAAACTTCAAATATCAAATTTGAAATAGTTCCGGTAAATAATGTCTCCGTTATATGGGGATATACGTGACGTGAACCTACATAGTCCATTTTCTGTTTTATGTAGTAGTATCCATTACGAACTTCAAATACCTATTTTGGAGCAATTCCGATAAATAATGTCGCTAAAATCATCAAAATACCGAATATGGGGAGGTGACGTTATATGGGGGTTATACCAAAACGTGCACCTATTTGGCCTAATACCAAAAGTCCGGCAGACATAACATACATTTGAGTAAAATTTTATTAATATACTTCAATTCGTTCAGAAGCTAGAGTGATTTCCACAGAGGGATAGACGGACGGGCATCATTAAATTTTAGAATTGAGAATTATTTTAGAATTTTATGCTGATCAAGAATATATGTACTTTGTTGGGTCTAAAATGTATATTTCGAGGTGTTACAAACGGAATGACAAACTTAATATACCCTCCATACTATGGGGAGGGTATTTAAATTTATATTAGCCATTATATTTACAATAAACCTCAAGAATATGTATGGGAGCTACATCCAAATCTTAGTCGATCTCTCTAAAATTTGACAAAGGTATTTCCGAGCTCTATAAAATATCTGGAACCACATATCATTGTTGTCGAGCGCATATTACGAATTTGAGGGACTTAAAGGCCAAATCGTATGAAACATATATATGGGAACTAAAATTCGCAAATTCGAAAATTCGCATGGGGTATTTCTGGGCTGCATCTGTTATCTGGTACCAAATATCGTTGTTGTGGAGTGCGTATTCCGCATGTGGGGGACTTAAAATACCATATACATATATGAGAGCTATAGCTATATCTGAACCGATTTTCAACAAATTTGAAGTACTTATTTCTAGGATGAATTCAGTCGGAATTTTTATGATTTAGTCGATTCGGGCCTATATTAGCCATTTGGTGCACAATAAACCTGATATCGCATAAAGATATACATGATAGCTATATCCAAATCTAATCCGATCTCCATAAAATTTGACGGAGGTATTTCTGTGCTGTGTCTGATATCTGATACCAAATATCATTCTTGTGGAGTGCATATTACGAATGTGAGGGACTTAAATCCCCAAATCGTATGAAACATATATATGGGAACCGGTTGTCTTCAAATTTCCACGACTGAATTCGGTCGGATGTACCAAAATTCAGGTTATTTGGACTTTCGGTCTATCTCGCTTCCTTCTCCATGTCACAAACAAATGCGCCAAGACATAATAACCTTACTACTTGTGGTATAAGGTATAATTAGGGAATATTTTCTTTTCTTTTTGAGAACATTGATGTAAATATTTTTTCGACATTCATTAGAAGTACGGATTTATTTTCTTTTGTGACTTATTGTAAAATTCGATGGAGTATATTTTTGTCTCTGACGTCATCCTTCTAAATAATGCTTTATTAGAGTTTTTTTTTAAAAAACTCACAAAAGCATGGATTTAACCCTAAAATGTGTTTATAATAAATATGAATTCAATGCGTTTGGTTAAATTTTAGACTTTTGACGTCTTCTAAGATCTATAGTAAAATTTTTTGACAGATAATTTTGTAAAATATTTTAACTCGCTACGATTCCGTTTAAAGTAAGTTTTTAGTCAAATTTTGCAAAATGGACCAAAAAGACCCCATTTTTGACTCACTTGAGGGTTAAAATTTTTGACCAAAGTCTTCCCCGTATTTTTATCTGCAATATTGTGGAAGCCACTATATACCTAAGAAGCACGGATTCCGAGGAATTTTGATCATCTTTTTTGTTTTGTTTTCCATGTAAACTTTCAAAACGCCGATACACGTGTCTTCTTTATTTAGCTCTACTTTCAAAATCTGCCGGATTTTTTCGTAATTATTAAAAAAATTGAATTTTGTTGCACAGTATAATTGCAGGTTCGGGAATTTACAAAAGACTCTTCAGCTTGTCTATTGGCAAGAAAAACTTCCTGATTCAGCTCGTTGGCTATTATAGGAGAGGGGGGAGAGAGTCTCCCTACTCCAGCTCGTCCATATGAGTGAGAGACTCCCTTCTTAAACTCGTAAGTAGGAGAAATAGAGAGAGACTCCCTGCTTCAGATCGTCTATAGGAGAGATAGACACCCTGATTCAGCTCGTCTATAGGAGAGAAAAAGACTCCCTACTTCAGCTCGTCTATATAAGAGAGAGACTTCCTGCTTCACCTCGTCTATATGAGAGAGACATTCCCCGTTTCAGTGCGTCTATAGAAAAGAGAGACTCTCTGCTTCAGGTCGTCTATTTATTAGAAAGATTCCCTGCGTCAGCTCGTCTATAGGAGAGAGAGAAATAAACTTCCAGCTTCAGTTAATCTATTGAAGGGCGAGATAATCTATAGGAGAAATTCCCTGCTTCAGCTAGTCTATAGGAGAAAGAGACTCCCTGCATCAACTCATCTATAGGAAAGAGTCTCCCTACTTCCGTTTGTCTATAGGGGAGCGATTCCGTTCTCCAAATTGTCTATCGCAGAGAGCGCCAAATCAAATGAGCTCCTTATCTCAGCTTTTCTGAGGAAAGAAGATTCACTCCTTTGCTCGGTTATAAAGAACAGCTCTCATCGTTTTACCAAAAAAAATGCCGTCAATTGAAGAGAACGTCAAGTCAAATGAGCTCCTTAGGGAAGAAGAATCACTCCTTCAGATCGATTATAAAGAACAGTTCTCATTAATCTACCAGAAGCCAGTCATGAACATTCTCCCATCGGCCTCGCCAAAATATAATATTTTCTAAGTCAGCCTCAACCACTTAACAATATTTGATATTTATTTGCTTTCAATGCCTCTCAATTATTTACATTTCTCCCTCTTTTCCTCTCTCCTTGCAGCCTGACTTGTAATGCGCCTTGGGGGTGGTGTACCATACGACGGCGACCCCCCGACAATGAGCGCTGCTGGCAACGACTATGCCGAATTATGCGATCTTGGACCTACGCGATGGAGTTCGCGCGGCTACTATCATGTACCACCACCTGCGCACAGTTCATCACTGCATCCTAGCATCCTGCAGACATCCACCCAATCGTCATCCAGTGTCCCAACGGGTGGCTCAGCCGGTCTTACAGCTCATCACCTGCGCGTTGCACCGCCCACAAGTAGTTACGAGGCAGAAGATATTGCCGCTGCTTACGGTATGACAACACCGCCACCCGGCATCACCGACCTCTCGAATAGCTACGCCGTCAACTCACGTATAGGCAATAGTACAAGTTCGTTACGAACCGGTCCAACATCATCGTCCGCAGCAGCAGCAGCGGCGGCGGCAGCAGCAGCAGCAGCAGTTGGTGCAGGCACAGGGCGCTCGGGTTTGTACTATTCACCGCCTGGCACATCGTATACGATCATTGAACGACCCCATTCGCCGCACTATTATTACAATTCGGCGGGTGTTGCCACCAAGGGTGGTTCATTGCCGGGCCGTGGTTCGGCATATTTGTCCTCATCACCGTCGAACTATTTGAACAGCGGCATGAGCGGGACATTGCCTACCTCAACTGCTGCACGACATGCAATGAATTCCGCTTCGGCCATGGCCAATGGCAACAAGAAACGGCCGATATCGCCGGAGCAGGTGCTGCGCATGTTTGGCGCTACCCAATCGTCTTCAGTTCCTACTAGCAGCTATCATTACAGTAATGGTACGAGAGATCGCACCGGTCGTCGTAGTCCCGCCAGTAGTCCACCATCAACAACGCATCAGGTGGGCATAATAGACAATAATGTGGAATATAACCGTTTGCTAGTAAAATGTTCTCTTCTCTTCCCCTTTGCAGATCTATCGCGAACGTGAAAGAGATCGCAGCATGACAAATATTCACGAATTAACGACACGCACTGTGACCATGTCCCGAGATCAGCAAATAGATCATGGATTTGGTATTTGTGTTAAAGGAGGTAAAGACTCAGGTAAGTCAGGCAGAACAAAAATTAATTAAATTTCTATCATACCAAAACGTATTTCCCTATTTTAAATGTGGTGCGACGACACCAACATGCACAATAACTAAACAAAGAAGCTTACAGCGAAAGTGCATATAAAGTGGTTCATTTTTTATGCAATCAATTGTTGGCAAAATAGACTATAAAAGCGAATAACACCCCCCGCCCTCGTCCTTGCTTGAATCCCCGGTCTATTAACCACCGCTCTCAGAAACGTGAATATTTAAGTCAGCAACGTATTAAATATGAAATTCAATACGACGCCAGCGACCAGCAGCATGTGTCGTTTTTCCTATTTTCTTCTTCTCTGCTTCAATATTCAATAAACGACTTCTCGCACCATAATACCAATGCCATACAATAACTGTCATCCGCCATCCCGTAACCACACCGCCATACAACCGTCATACTTAGTATGTCTTTATGTACTTGTATATTATTACTGGTACGTGTATGTCCCTTTCCCGCAAAACCATTTTGCCTTAGTACACCTCATCCCTTCGCAGTCATCACGACTAGATTTCTATTCAATAATAGGGCTTAATAATCAATAGCCGGGTGGGTTGCCAATCTAGGAATATATTTTTCAGGTTTGGTCGAACATTTATAATACTAACCATACCCTTCACAATGACCTAGACTTCACAGAAAACTTTTTAATAAAATTAGTATCAAAATTCAGAAAAACAGAAAACCGAATATCGGAGGATATCGGTGTAAAGGGGGTATATCAAAACAAGTAAAGTAGCAGCTACGTTTGGCATAGTCATATTTCTAATACCCTCCACCATTTTCAAAGAATTTGAAATTTTTCGGTAGAAAAATACCTCATAAATGGAATCATGTTCTTATATGAGGGCTATTCGAAGACGTGTTCCTTAAAATTATTTTTTGTCATTGGCTGTAGTACCCTACACCACAAGGTAGTCAGGGTATTATGCCTTTGTGCATTTGTTTTAACAGGCAAAAGAAAACGAGATAGACCCATAGAAACTATGGTCTGCATAGAATCACATTTTGAGTCGATGCATGTTTGTCCGTCCTTTTGTCCGTCTCTATCCATATCGTTTTGTAAACAAGGTACAGGTCGCATTTATTGCCCGATCCAGATGAAATTTTGGCTTGTTGAAATTGGTGATAATTTAGATATAGCTCCCATATATATATATATATTTGTCCGATTCGAATTTTATTGTGCACCAAACGTGTATTATCAGCCCAAATAGTATGGAATTTTGCACACACGAGCAAATTAAGCCTGGAAATAAGGATGCCATATATAATCGAAGTCGGTTCAGATATAGCTATAGGTCCCATACATATTGTTAATTCAATTTGTTATATTTTTTCTCCACAACAATGATCCGTAACAACGACATTCGGGGAAGTATATCAAATGCTTGGGGTGATCGACACATTGGTATTTTTAGTGCCAACCTTGATTTCCAAAATACTCCAGACACAATAGTCCAACGGATTGGTATCCGGAGATTTTGGTAGCCATTGTGCGCTGGACATGAAGCGTGGAACCTCATTTTGTAACCATTCTTGGCTGGCCCGTGCTGAGTTCTGTTGGAATGTCCAAGGTCTGCGGCCAAATTGTTTGCGTGTACCCTCCAGAATATTTTCACGATAATATTTGCCATTTATTCTGATGCCACGGTCGATTAATACAAGCGGAGAGCGACCACCGGCTGCTATGGCGGGCCACACCATCACCATGGCCGGCGCTTGAGTTCTGGTGGCCCAGCGAAGGTGCACATTTTCAGCTGACCTCTTTGGCAAGTAAATACGATCATTTTGTTTGTTTACAAACTGCTGGACAACGAATGTTTTCTCATCGGAGAAAACCAAATTCGGCAGTTCACCACTTTCGGCAAAGCGAAGCAACTCTTTAGCTCTTTTGAATATATATTTTTTACTGCTGCGGTGTAAGTTTTTGCACTTTTTGGAATTTCAATGGCTTTACCCCGAGCTCATTTTTCAATATTTGCCGAATGGAATATTGCTAAAATAAAACTACGGTTGAAGCTCATTCGAGGACAATCAAAAATTGAATAGTATTATAAATTTTGCAATATTTCCTAGAAAAGTGTTCTGGTATCCGGAAAGTGGTAAAGCTTTCCGCCACATTTAACGGAATACTCATCGAAATAATCATTTTAGACTTCACAAAGTATATGTATTCTCGAATCTGCGTCGATACAGCCATATCTGCCCGCCTGTTGGAATCACTCAAACTTCCGAATGGTTGATACTCATATTTCTTTATTTTGTCACCCAGTCCGGCTGTCCGGCCGTTCTTCTGTCTATGTATTTTTGTGAACAAAATGAAGTCGCATTTGTTATACGATTGAGATGAATATTTCCCAACAATATTTGTTTGGCCCAAGGACGAACCGAATGACCTGAATTTTGGAAAATTTGACCGAATTCAGTCTAGAAGAAAATACATCACATTAGGCGAAAATTGGTTCACATATAGCTATACCTCGCGTATATATTTGTCATCCGATTTGGGGTTTGAAGTCCCTCACACGCGTAATATGCTCTCCACTACAATTATGTTTGATACCTGACATAAGATACAGCTACATATGTATATAGAATGGTGTTTCAGTTCCTCACATTCGTAATATACACTCCACGACAATAATGTTTAGTACCAGATATCAGATACAGCCCAGAAATACCTCTGTCAAATTTAATTGAGATCGGATCAGGTTTGGATATAGCTCCCATATATATCTATATGCTGTACATAGTATATTGTGCCCCAAATGACTAACATCTGTCCAATTGAACTGAATTTTCGCCATTCCGACTGAATTCGTCCTAGAAACAATTACTTTAAATTGCTAATATCAGCACAAATTGACTGACTTTTTTATTGGAGTTACACCATTTTCTGACTCTATTTTTGTATGTGAGTCAGCAAACTGTTTTTACTTCCTTATTTTTGTGTGAAATTCGAATCAAAGATTTAAGGTTTTCAAGTCTGACTTCTACACTCCGTGCAGCCGTTACCCAATAAATGCCTATCAAATTATTCCTATTTTTGCTGCTTAGATCCCTCAACACAGTTAGGTTTTGTGATACATTACCACCAGTAGTTTTTGATGCTATATCTTGGTCTTGGTTTGGACAATAGGATTGGTATTGTTACACCGATATAAAATATTGCTGGACGGCAGACTTTAGGGCAAATAAATTAATGCAGGAAGGGGTTCATCTCCTGAGCAGAATGTCAAAACTAAACCTTGCAGCTACATTTAAATATTTCCGAATATTTTGTATCGAATAACAGATATACATTATTTAATTCTGCTCATTGAGCGTTGGGCGCCATTTTTATACCCTCCACCATACTAGGGAGGGTATATTAGCTTTGGCATTCCATTTATAACTCCTGGGAATACTCATATCAGACTCAACAAAGTATATATATTCTTGATCAGCGTAAAATTTTAAGTCGATTTAGCGATGTCCGTCTGTCTGTTGTAATCACGCCATCTTTTGAACGAATTGAGATAGAAGGCTCATATGTTTATTTTTCCAGTAGGCAAATGGGCCATGTAGGTCCACGTTTTCATATAGCCCCCATACAACAGTACTTCCCGATATCCGGTATTTTGATGATTTTAGCCGCATTATTCACCGGAATTGTTTCAAATTTGGTATTTGAAGTTTGTAATAGATACTACAGCCTAAGACAGAAAATTGTCTGTGCAGGTCCACCTCTTCGTATAGCAGGTCCACGTCTTCGTATAACGGTACCTCCCAATATTCGGTATTTTGATGATTTTAGCGTCATCATTCACCGGAATTGTTTGAAATTACGTATTTAGAGTTCGTAATGGGAACTACAGTCTGTGACTGAAAATTTTTCTATGCAGGTCCAGGTCTTCGTTTAAGCCCCATATATCAGCATCTCCCTTTATTCGGTATTTTGACGAGTTTAGGTACAATACCCACCGAAATTGTTTAAGATGTCGTATTTGAAGTTCGTAATGGACTCGCACAGCTCCGATATAACGGTACCTCCCAATATACGTTATTTTGGATGATTTTAGCTATATTATTCACTGTTTAATGGCTTATGACAAACAATGCCTATGTATGTTGGGGTCCACATCATATAGACCCCAATTTAACGGCTATATTGGGTATTTTTAAAATTTTGACAGAATTTTTTTAAGGATTTTATTTTTTGAAAATTTCTAAATTCGTTCCAAATGGTGGAGGGTATTCAAAGTTCGGCCCGGCTGAACTTCTTGCTTTTTAACTTGTTATTTTTCCCTAGTATACCTTCTGACATCTCGTTGAAAGTAGAACCCATTAAAAAAAGTGGGTAGAAAACCCCTTCTACAACTTTTTGAAATAGTCTTCAAAAATCTGCATTGCGTAGAGCAAAGTTTTCGTCTTATATTCCCCATATCTTTCATGCATTAGTCTGTAGATGGAGTTGGAAACTTGTATTTTTTCGTTAGGCATGACTATCGAAAGAGGGCATGGCAACCCTAAAGCTTTGATTTCTATTATGTTCCTCTCCCGGTTCATTTTACTATTCTAAGAGCTTTCTCCAAATTTCTGAAAGAAATCGGGCAGAATTCGTCTGGAAATTCGGCGGAATATTCAGATTTTCTGAAAGAAATCGGTCAGAATTCGAAAGAAAATTCGGAATAAAATTCAGATTTTCTGAAAAAAAAACGCTCAGAATTCAGGAGAAAGTTCCGATTTTCTGAAAGAAATCGTTCAGAATTCGGAAGAAATATCGAAAAAATCGTCACACCACTTAAAAATGAAAAAAAAAACACATATTTATTTAAAAAACAAACAATTTATTTCGGGTTTCGTAAAAATGTAGTTTAAATATTACATCTATAATACATTTACATTATAAATATTATTTTTATTAGGAACATAACATACAGTAGCACGTTTCTGTTTCAACTGCTAAACAAGAACTAAAAATAAAAAGCAGTGCACACAGAAAACCGGTATGTAGTTGTTTTTGCAATTTTTTTCCATCATATTTTTTTGGGAACGAAAGAGAAAGAGGCTGATTCACAACAACAACAAAACGCACATTTTTACAACGGAAAATCTAACAGTTCACAATAACAATAACAAATAGCATTTTTGCTTTGCGCTTTGTTGAGATCTTGAAATGAATGATCACAACAACAACTACTATGGGAGAGAATGTGTCAAACCACCACCATCCGTTTACATGTGGGAGAGAATATGCCAGAGCAATAGACAATCTACTCTCTCCGTTTGTACATTTTTCGAGTTTTTTTCGCTTAAAAACACAGGAAAATGTGCAGAAATTCTAAAAAAAAACGTTTAGAAAATCGGACCAATTTCTATCAGAAATTTCTGAAAAAAACGTCAGAAATTTCGGAAAAAAATCTAAAATCAGAGCAGTCGGAAAAAATTGTTTACTGGGTATGGACTTTATTTAAACGCTTAGTAACACTTTTAGCAATGTTTGTTGCTACTTACCATTCTCATGCCGCTCTTCCCCTCTCTCTCTCACGTTATATATCATCCCTGTATTTGTTGAACGTCATTTACAGGTGTCATTTATAAGCCGAGCAACAGCTTACATATATACATATGCAGATAATGCAATATGGAGAACAGGAACAAACAAATAATAAAAATAGGCGATATATCCTCTCAAACTGCAAGGAGAGGTCTTTTGCACACTTTTCAGTTTTCTGTTTATATTTATTTTTAATTGTATTAAGCGAGAGAGAGGCAAAAACAAAATAACTGATGAATATTAATAGCATTTATTTTCTCTGTACATACTTAGGAGACATATACACACATACATCGTATTTGTATTGATTTATTTTCATAACCGAGCCAAGTTCTCATTGCTCTTGTGAAAAGCTCAACTAACAACACAACTGACATTTTGTATTGACAAAAGGACTCACAAGGAATCAATCGCAAGGATATGCAAAAGTGGTATCACTTGATTAGAAGAAAATTACATTGAATGTTATTGAATCGATTTTGTATTCAATTTATTCGAAGAAAATTGTTATCTTTGCAAAACTTGTTTGGATACACTTAATTGAAATCAATTGGAAATCTTTGGGACATATTTGAATGTTATGAAAATACGAGCAATAAATTTCTTTGCTGCAAATATTTGTAGAAAATTTAAAATTGGTTATTGAGAGGATGAGAGTTTTTAAAAAAACAGTAAAGAAAGTCTTAAAGTCGGGCGGGGCCGACTTTATGATACCCTACACCACTTTGCTAATTTAGTAGAGCTCCACATAGCAATTAAAAGATTTGATGGGAGAATTTAGTAATACACGCCATGATTATAATTATAATTTAAACTTCAAAAGACTAAATATGCCGAAGCATTTGTATCTTTAAAATTTGGACTTGTATTGCCCATTTGATATATATGGGAGCTATATCTAAATCTGAAGCGATCTTGATAAAATTTGGCAAAGATATTTTTGAGCTGTATTTGATATATTTCCCTGAATATCGTTGTTAAGGAGTGCCTATTACGGCTGTGGGTAAGAAATAAAGCAAATCGGATGAACAATATATATGGGAGCTTTAGCTATATCTGAACCGATCTTCACCAAATTTTGCATACTACCTTCTAGACTCAATTCGGTCGTATGTGCCAAATTCCATCCCATTTGGGCAAATATTAGACGTTTGGTGCACAATAAAAGGTAAATCGGACGAAGTTATATATGGGAGCTATATCCAAATCTGAACCGATCTCGATAAAATTTAGCAAAGGTATTTCTGAGCGGCATTTGATATATTTCCCCAAATATTGTTGTTACAAAGTGCATATTACGGCTGCGGAGGACAAAAATAACAAATCGGATGAAAAATATATATGGGAGCTATAGCTATATCTGAACCGATTTCGATCAAATTTGGCATACTTATTTTCAGGCCTAATTTGGCTCTATGTGCTAAATTCCATACTATTCGGGCTGATATTACACGTTTGATGCACAATAAAAGGCAAATCGGACGAAGATATGTATGAGAGCTGTATCTAAATTTTTATAGATTATCTCCAATTTTAATAGGTTCGTCCTTGGGCCAAACAAATGTTGTTTGGAAAATTTCATCTTAATCGGATAATAAATGCGGCCTGCATTTTGTTCACAAGAATACATGGACAGACGGACTGACATGCATAAATCAACTCAGAAAGTGATTTAATGGAGATCCTCAAAGGTAACTATGGGTCTATCTCGCTTCCTTCTCCATGTTACAAGCAAATGCACAAAGACATAATACCCTTACCACTATGTGGTGTAGGGTAGATTAAGTAAAAAAATATACCCTCAGCCAATGTACGATTATCTAAAAATATTTTGACTTCTGTTATGATTTTTCATAACACCCTCTATGAAGTGGGTTTTGAAAATGGTGACCCTTTGTGGGTGACGTACCAGAAGGTGTTCGCAGGTATCATCTTCTCATCAGATCCTAAAATAAGAAAAATGTTTGTTTGTGTGAAATTTGAAGGAAGTTGGCTGCTTACTTTAGATTTTATGATCGTTTTGGTTATTTAAACATATTGTGAGGGAGGTACCAGAAGAAATGGTCCGACCTTTACCATTTTTATAACAGATCTTTTGTTGATAGAATTATTGAAATGTGCCAAGTCTGAATGGAATCGAATGTTAATTTCGCGTTCTATGAGCTTCATGTATATTCAAAATTTGAACCCTTTGTGGGGTATGTGCCAGAAGGAGTGGACCGATATATTCCATCTTCACAGCAGATTTTGTGTAAGCAAAAGTAACGGGATGTGTGAAATATGAACAGAAACGGATGCTTACTTCAGATTTCGTAATCGTTTTGGTTTATCAAAACGTTGACCCTTTTTGGGGGTTAAAAGGAAGAAATGGTCCGATCTCTATCTTTATAATAGATCCTGTGTTGGTAGAAATATTGAGATGTGCCAAGTCTGAATAGAATCGGATTTTATTTTCGCGTTTTATAAGCTTCATGGACACTCAACATGTTGACCCTTTGTGGGGGAGGTTCCAGAAGGAGTGGACCGATATATTCCATCTTCACAGCAGATCTTGTTTAAGTAGAAATAGTGGGATGTGTGCAATATAAAGATGACCTGATGCTTATTTCGGATTTTAAGAACGCTTTGGTTATTCAAAACTTTTACCCTTTCGGGGGGAGGTATCAGAAGGAATGGCCCGATCTCTACCGTCTTTACAACAGATTCTGTCTCGATAGAAATATTCAGATGTGCCAAGTCTCAATGAAATTGGATGTTAATTTTTATGAGCTTAATGGATATTCAAAATTTCGACCTTTTGAGGGGGAGGTACAAGAAGGAGTTGACCGTCTAAATACCAGATCTTGGGTTCATAAAACTATTAGGATGTGTGAAATTTGAAGACAATCGGGCTCTTACATCATATTTTATAAAAGTTGTAATTATTCAAAATTTTGACCCTTGTGGGAGAGGTACTTGATGTGGTGGGCCGATATTGTCCATTTTCGCACCTAACCTAGAACTGACGCAAATATTCGGATTTGCAAAGTTAGAGCAAAATTGGATTATTATTTCTGCTTCTGTGCAGAAAATATATTTCTTTAAAAATTTCAACCTTTTGTGGGGGAGGTACCAGAAGGATTGAACCTATATACTCCATCTTAACACCTGACCTTGGGCTAATAAAATATTTGGGACGTGTGAAATTTGAAGACAATTGGACTCTTATATCATATTTTATTAGAGTTAAACTTATTCAAAATTTTGACCCGTTGTGGGAGAAGCACTTCATGGAGTGGACCGATATAATCCATTTTCGCACCTAACCTAGAAATAACGCAAATATTCGGATTTGCAAATATGGAACAAAATCGGATTATCGTCTCTGTTTCTGTGCAGAAAATATTTTTATTTTATTTTATTTATTTATTTTTTTTTTTGAAAATTTCGGCCTTTTGTGGGGAAGGTACCAGAAGGAGTGGACCGATATTGCCCATCTCCGAACTCGATCTAAGATTGACAAAACTATTACGATGTACAAAGTTTGGACCAAATCGGATACTCCCTTCGAGAGTTATCGTGCAAACCAGCCTGACATACAGACGGACGGAAGGACGGACATCGCTAGATCGACTCCAAATGTCCTGAAACGGATTTTGTCCAAAGAGACTTAGGATCTAAAACCGTTATTTCGACTAGGCACGTTTTGACAGTATCAAATGATACATCCTCTGTAGCCATATGGCTGAGAGTGTAATCATACAGATACTTCTTTCTTAATCCCCATGTTCTGCATTCTCAATCATGTGAATTAATCAGTAAATGCATTTTCCTTCCTTTTCAGGCCTTGGTGTTTATATTTCACGCATCGAGGAAAATTCCGTTGCCGAACGAGCAGGGTTGCGTCCCGGTGATACTATCCTAGAAGTGAATGGCACCCCATTCACTTCAATCAATCACGAGGAAGCGCTAAAAGTAAGTATTCGTATCGGTGTTTTAATTCTAATTATCACCCCCATCCCACCCAAAGGGAGATTGTTATAATTAAAACACTTTGCCATAAAAAATAATCGTTTAACTACTAAAAATATTTACATATATAAATAAAACTTATACACTTAAAACATTTTTAATTTTTGGAAATATTTTTATTTTGTTTGAAAAAATACGGAAAAACTTGTACCAAGCTAATAATACAATTACATCAAAATAAGGCAAGGAAATTTGAATTTTTCATTTCGAATTTTGAGTTTATATCTGTCTGTCTGTCCGTTGCTAGAAATGCTCCAAACTGTAGGTATGCTAGGGTGAATAATGAGTTCAGCATCAGTGTATAAAACCCAATATAGATTGAGATTAGTTGCTCCTTCATTTTGGCTAGTGTTGTTAAGCAATAAATCACCTTTGTTTTGAAACTGTTCGAAAAATCATGGGAAAAAATGGGACTTGTCAAAGATATAAGTCATTGTAATATTTTCTAAAATAATTATAAATTGTATAGGAAATTGAAAATCTTCGAGGACTCGTAGGCTCCTAATAAGTATTTCTACTTTTTGATATCTCCATTTTAACAGTCAAATTTTATAGCGAAGGTGTTTTTCTGTGTTTTCTATAGTCCACATGACAGGTCAGTTTTGGATTGATTTGTCCCGACCTAAGACTCGACATCACAACCTATGATTTTATAGAACCTGGGCATCCGTTACTCATTATTTGACAAGGGATAAATCTGTTCCTTTGTAATTTTCCAAGGAATCACTCATTATTTTCAAAATAGATGTTTGTTTACATTACCTAAGAATCAGTTAATCTGCTCATGGGATCCGGATAAAATACAGAATCGATAGGAGCATGTCCTCCTCATATTACGTGTGGATATGGCCGGCAATGCTGATATGATACTATTTTGTAGACTAAATCTATCTTTGATGATGGGGACTAGTATTGACTCAAGATAAAAATAATATCAACCTATATAGTTCACCCTCACTGGCATCGTTCCTGTCGGAAACCCCCTGCCCATTTTCCATCTTTCGGGAACATTTCGTAAAGGACACTTTGAAAAGTGTTCGAAACATCAAAAAAAGTCCAAGTGGAGGTGATAGTACTCGGTTCGTAGATGAAAATACCAAAAGACTCTTGGGTTCCCAGACAAACTTTTTTGGTGCCTTTAACTGCCAATGTAGCCTTAACCATATAAAAGGGATTCAAATATTTCACTCTATACTTTGCAAAATTATAGATAGAGCTTTAAATTATGATGCATGTCTTTGAGTTACAAAATATAGGTCATGTCGGTCCAGGTTTTGGTATAGCCCCCACTATGGGTATACCCCGATTTCAAGCATTTTTTTACATTTAAGTTATATTTTTATACCTTCCGTCATATGGCTACAGAGGGTATATATCGTTTCATGCGCCCAAAATATGCCTCATCGAAATAATGGTTTTAGACCCTCTATAGCATTTCCGATGTATGCCGCTCCTTGACGTCACCTGAGATCTGGAAGTCCAAACGTCTCTGTAGGTACCACATTTCGGAATATTTCACACTCTAGAAATTTTCGCTTAAAAAGCAATGGTTTCGTTGCTTGTGAGGCACATAGTACCGTCCAACGTGGAGGACGGAGACAAAAATTCGACGTCGTTGATGATTGGCCTACATTCATGTGTTATAATAATAATGGAATAATCTCTCGTGGCTTAAAAACACCACATTCGGATTTGGTGGATGTCTTATTTAGATAATAAATCCTTAATAGTTTTTGAGTATGTTTTCGGAAATGATACTTTAAATCATGTATAGGTTTATGTAGCGAATTATGAAATGTTTGTCTTTTTCCATTTCGTACATTTAAGGCTTCGGCCGGGCCGAACTATTAATACCATACACCATAAGATAAAGAAAACTTAAAAAAAAATAAAAGAATCGGGATTGAATTATGGGTCCACTTCCATTTTTTCCAGAGAAATCGGGTGGTAAAATGGTTCTAAAACTGCCGTAAAGTCGATTTTCTACTATATTGGTTATTATATATTGCGAATTTCAAATACCAAATTAAAAAACAAAATGTGATTAAAATCACCAAAATACCAAATATTCGGAGGTACCGTTTTATGAGCAATGAAGAAATAATGAACCTATTTCAATAGTGTAATGCAACAGACGGCTCTTCGTACCGAATTTTAAACGATTTCTTTTAGAAAGTGGATAAAATCATCAGAATACCGAAAATCGGGAAGTTCCATGAAACATGGGGGGCTATAGTAAAACGTGAACCTATCTAGACAATGCAATAGCTGTAATCCGTAACAAACTCTAAGTACCGAATTTCAAACAATTCAGTTCGAAAAGGTGGCTTAAATCGTCCAAATACCGAATATCGGGAGGTACTGTTATATGGGGACTATAAGAAAAAATGGAGGTTCTGCCACAAGATATAGAACCCTTTACGAACCCTAAAACCGAATTTCAAACAACTCCGAAAGAAAACATGATTTAAATAATCAGAATACCAAATATCGGGAGGTAAAGTTTCATTGGGGCTATAAGACAACGCGAACCGACATGACCCATTTACGACCTTAAGCTGCCTACTTACTTACACATGTGTGCATAATTTTAGACTTCTATCTCAATTCGTTCGTAAGATAGCGTGATTATAGCAGACTGACAGACGGACATCGCTAAATCGACTTAGTACAAGGTGAGATGAAAAAACTGCAACCAACTTTAGACTGCTGTCATTTCTAAGTCACTCGTCCAGTGACAGCTCATTATATTGTTTACAAGCGTACAAAAGCACTTTGGTGAGAATTGTCCAGAAAAAAGTTATTCGTGAGTGATTTCTTTATATTTAGCTGGAAAACCACAAGTGGCTAGAGCACTCCAGCATTTGAATGTGAATAAATCTTTTGTGTCTCGTACCATCTCTCGTTATCGTGATACTGGTAGCGTAGCCCGCCGTCAAGGAAGTGGACGGAAGAAAACAGCAACATCAGCAGAAATGGTTCGAAAAGTAAAGAAGCGACTCTATCAAAACCCGCGTCGAAGTGGCCAAAAAATAGCCACACCACTTAGAGCACTCCAGTATTGAAATGATACTGGTAGCGTAGCCCGATGTCAAGGAAGAGGATGGAAGAAAACAGCCACCATGCCACCATAACAGCCGATGGTCGCTCTCCGCTCGTATTAATCGATCGTGGCATCAAAATAAATGCCGAATATTCTGGAGGGTGTATTAAAGCCTTGGGCACGCAAAAATTTTGGCAACAGACCTTGGACCTTCCAACAGTAACCAGCACCATCGCACTCAGTACTTGCCACCCAAGAATGGTGTGCGTTTCCAGCGCACAATGGCCACCAAAATCTCCGGATACCAATCCGTTGGACTATTGTGTCTGGAGTATTTTGGAAAGCAAGGTTGTCACTAAAAGATACCAAAGTGTCGATCACCTCATACAAGCGCTTCGCCGGGAATGGGGCAAAATACCGCAGAGCAACAATGGGGCAGCGTGTGACGGTTTCATTGGCCGTTTGAAGGCCATAATTCGTGCCAAAGGAGACCAATTCGTACAAATCTAAACTTATTCTAATTCCGACATTTTTTGCTTTCATTCAAAAAAAAAAAAATTAAAATTAATGGCGTTTGACTTTGTTGCAGTTTTTTTTTATCTCACCCTGTATGTACTTTGCTAGGTCTGACATGAGTGTTTCAAGGAGCTGCAAATGGAATGACACTTAATAGTATACCCTGGTGGAGGGTATAAAATCGAGTTAGTTTTTCCATTAGACCTGATTTAGGCCAATATACCTGATTGAGAGAGGATGTTGAGACCCTTATGTCCTTAGAAGTTGAATTTTTCATTGTTAGTATTTATAAAGTTTACAACTGATTCTTCCCTGTTCTTCACTTCGGAGCCATCTCACATAGGTCTCTCGCATTTGCATCGTAAAAATCGTGATTAGTTCTACCAACAAGTTGATCAATACAGTGTTCAGAGTATTTTTAAATTTACCTCTAGCTTAACTGTGAGGATTAGTTTCATAATTTAAATTGGTCGGATTTTATTCGACTTGTCATGCATTCAGATAAAAAGATAACCTTTAATACACCACATTGAAGTAGAGATTATTTGGAGCACACACACACACAACACACCATTGAAAAGTAATAACAAATTTTGGAAAACCAAAAGTATACAACACTAATACACTTTGAGAAAAAATTGGCAATAGAATAAGTTTTTCTATTCTGTTCTTCATTATGTACGTATGTGTATGTAAATTTTACAATCTTTTGGTTTTTATTTTGTTTGAGTTCAATACTGCACCGAAGTCGAAAACCCAAGCTTAACACTTCCAACACAAAATTCAATTCACAAAAAATGCACATTGAGGATAAATATCCTTGCATACCCCTCTCACACATTGCAAACCACTGAACACAACACTGAACAATCACCAGCACCGCTTTTTTGAAAAGGATTATTTTTCCCCATTACGAAATTCTTTTATTTCTTTTTATTTTGCTTTCACCTTCCATATCTATCCTCCATTTACTTATTCTACGACTATCTATCTATCTGTCTGTCTTCTTCTCTATTTAAATTTCAATTCAATTAAATTTGCGTTGCTTAACTTTTAATTTTTGGTTTGTTTTGTTTTGGGTTTTATTTGATTTCTTTGCTTTTCGTTTCTTTTCGAACTTTCTCTCCTTTTTCTTCTTCTTCTTCTTCCTTTTTGTCTCTTCTATTGCCACATTTTTTCTTAACGCAGAGATGTGTGCAGATATTGAAATCACAACGTCAAATCAGTATGACGGTACGATCACCACCCACGCTTAACTCAACGGCGCCGCTGCACGGCTTTGGGCCACCCTCTCGAGATCCCATGTACGCTTCAATGGCTCCCCTGCTCACACAACCGACAGCACTGCCACCGGGTGCCGCCATCGGAGCAACTGGTTCGTTGCCATATCGACAAACATGTTCCTGGATGGATAGACACGGGAGACCTGCCTCACCGCCCATGGAGTATGGCGGCCGAAGAAGTGATCGAAGGGATAGGTAAAGACGCTAGGAGCTCTAATGAGAATCATGATATATAATCCGATTTCTTTTTTTTTTAGAATACGTTGTGTTGAGTTATTAATAGAACCCGGCCAGTCACTGGGTCTAATGATACGCGGCGGTGTGGAATATGGCCTGGGTATATTTGTGACGGGTGTCGACAAGGACAGTGTGGCCGATCGTGCCGGCCTCATGGTGGGCGATGAAATATTAGAAGTCAATGGCCAGTCCTTTCAAGATGTTACCCATGACGAGGCTGTTAGCCAGCTGAAATACCACAAGCGTATGTCCTTGGTCATACGTGATGTGGGTAAAGTGCCACATTCCTGTACCTCCATTGAAATGGAGCCATATGATGCTTACAGTCCCACGGGGACAAGGTATGGCCACGAAATATGAAAATAATTTCGACAAATGGAATTAAATTCATTTTCCTTTTTTTCAGAGCCCGTCGAAAAGGTCAAATCACCGCCATGGTAGAAGAGAAAGCCCGCTCACTTCTGCCTCGACATCATTTTGCAAGTCTTTCGTATTATATTGCCGAATATACTGCGAGAGCAATGACCATAGATGCCTTTGTAGCCGTCTTATTAGAAATGTTAGATACATATGAAAAGGTAAGTGAGAGGATCTAATAGCCATTAATCCAGCAAAAAATGCCTTTAGAGATCGCACAAATAATTCAAACAATAATTAGTTGATAGAGAATTACTTATTTCGTGTGATTCGTAATGACACGTTTTGCTGGGATAAATATCTAATCTCTTTAAAAAAAAATATCATTAATTCCTCTCTTTGTCTCTCTCTCTCTCTCACTTGTTTCGATTTCGTTTGTCTCCGTAGCATACACTAGTGACGGAAATCCGTGAACTTATATTCCCTGAGGATCGCACACGATATGATGAACTAGTATATCGTAGAGAGCGCGATCCTTACAGTGGCGAACGATTAAGGGTAAGTAAAATTCATACCATTTTGCATACATACAAATCTATGTGAGAAATTTGCAATATTCTGAAGAAATGTAAATCCTTAGAGTGCTTATACCCTCTACACGAAGGCGTAAAGTACTTTAATAAATTAGAAAGTATTTTTCGGCAGCCCAACAAATATATGCTCTCAATGTACCTTTGGAACACTTATTTTATCTATACGAACCAAATGATTTGGGCTAAGTGGTGGAAATTTTTATCGTTTAACGGGGAGCTACTAGAAGGAATGTAATGATATTGGGAATATGGGAATATTACAATGTATGATATTTGGACTTCAACGGACCCCACTTCCTTCTGAGCTTGTGTTCGGAGGTCCCAGAATGTGTGGACCTATTTCGTTTATAAATTTAGAATTGAACTATGCCTGATCCAAATGTTACGATGAAGCAAGGTTTTGCTTTGGTTCCAAAATTATGATCATTTATTCTTGTAGTTGTTTTAACAATAATATACAGGGTGAGATAAAACAAGTAAAAAAGTTGTAGGTTTGGCCGGGCCGAACTTTGAATACGTGGAGGGTACAAATTTATCAAAAAAATTTTCAAAAAAATAAAATCCGTTAAAAATTCTGTTGAAATCTTAAAAATATGTAGCCATATATTGGGGTCTATACGACGACGTGGGCCTGCATAGGCAACTTTTATCACAAGCTATTACAATATTCAAATGCGAAACTTGAAAAAAATCTGTTTATAATGTAACTAAAATCATCAAAATGCCGAATATAGGGAGGGGGTTATAAAACGTGGACTTGCACAGAAAGTTTTCTGTCATAGGTAAATAAATAATGTCGTAAATAATGTCTCTAAAATCATAAAAATACCCAATATCGGGAGGTACCGTTATATAGGGGCTATACCAAGACGAGCACCTGCACAGACAATTTTCTGTCATAAGCTGTAGTATTCATTACGAACTTCAAATACTAAATTTGAAATAGTTCCGGTAAATAATTTCTCTAAGATCATCAAAATAGCCAATATCGGGTGGTACCGTTATATAGGGGCTATACGAAGACATGGCCCATTTTCAATATCAAAAGTCCTGCAGACATAAAAAAAGTCCTGCAGACAAAAAAATTTGAGTAAAATTTTATCAACCTACTTCATTTCGTTCGGAAGCTAGAGTGATTTCCATTGACGGATAGACGGACATTGATAAATCGACATAGAATTTTATGCTGATCAAGAATATATATACTTTGACAAACTTAATAAATGACAAACTTAATATACCCTCCATACTAAGGTGGATGGTATAAAAACCAAATTCGGCAGTTCAACACCTTCGGCCAAGTGAAGCAACTTTTTAGCTCTTTTGCGGCTATTTTATTTCTGTTGCGGTGTAAGTTATTGCACTTTTTCGAATTTCAATGGATTTACCCCGAGCTCTTTTTTGAATATTTGCCGAATGGATTATGTTCAGCTCACAAGGCATTTTTCGGCCACTGCTACGCGGGCTACGCTACTAGTATCACGGTAACGAGCGATGGTACGAGACACAAAAGATTTATTCACATTTAAATGCCGGAGTTCCTTAGAAATAATCCCACTTGTATTTCTTTTTCCGAATTTCACGTGACATTGGGGTCCAACATTTCAAACTCGACCGGAGAGTAGTTAGTATGGCATTTTGACTGCATGAAACACCTCTGATATATCTAGTACAGGCAATACTGTTCTATGAGCCATCATGTTCTAGTTTTGTCCTCGACGAATAGGTTCGATTATGACGTATATCCATGTAAATGATTCGTAAGTGGATTGCTTCAACAAGTGATGGGGAGGAGTAGATCCTCAAGAGTCTTCCCTACTGGCGACAAAAGCGAGTTCGGCCCGTATCACTCGCTTTTCCTGGCATCCATGTTAATTGACTCGAATCCACATCTTGCCAGTTTATCAGGATCAGGAACCCAACCGAATTTGATGACCAACTTGAATTTTTCCAATGCCTTCCTAGTTTTAAAGCTTCTACAAAGTTCATGGTAAATTAATTTAGTGTTCTCAGACCACCTGACTATGGACTTATATAGTCATATATTCAGTTAAGTTCAGTGTTTCTGTTAGCCATCAGATGTATAGCCTTTTTGATCTCAAAGTCTTCTGCATGGAAGACGCTTTAGTAATTGTTAAGTTTGAATTAGTTGCTTTTGTTAAGGCTATCCCAATCTGTCAATCTGTCAGTATGAACAACTGTAGAGAGATGTGTTGTTACGGTTCAGAAGTCGCCATGAAGTACATGGATGTCTAGTGGCTCAAAGTTTAAACATGGTGATATATAATCACTAGCTTTAACCCCGCTTCCTATACATTCCACACATCCTAAAATCGCAGCGTGTCCAAACGGTTGACTGCGCCATTGTCTCCGATCTCTAAGTCTCAGGGCGCACCAGAGGGTCTATGTCTCTATAAGTAGATTTAAAGTACTTATGAGAAATAGGGTGTCCAGTGCAGCATGAGGTGTGTGCTTCCGATGGAAGGTGGTGGCACCATCGCCCACAAAACTTGCCTGCTTCACGAAAACCAGCTATTGCATTGAAGTATACAACTTTTGATTCCTCGTTTTTACAGTAGATTACCTTAACTCTTTTGTACAGGGTAGCACTGCCAAACTGCATTATTCGAGTATTCCCTTCTCCAAGAAAGACTGTCCCCCTTAGAGGGTCTTCGATAAAAAAGCCACCGAATTTGGTTATTTCAACTTCCGATTCGGCGTTTTCGATGAGTGCTAAAGGTAGGTGAACCGGTTAGATGATCTGAGAAAGACTGAGGTTTAGTGGTTGACTTGTGGACCCTTCCCCGCTTGGGGGGCTAGGTGCCGACTTGGGTACATCCTTTTTGCTGATGGCCGGAGTGGAAGCCTCAGTTGGTGCCAAAAAGCCTTTGGATGTGGCTCGGCAGTGGAACATCCTCTGTGTGCGTGAAGAGATATCGGTGTCCTTAAGAACCATAGATGCAGTGTTCGTCCCCATGTCCACTTTCTTTGGCAAGAGCCTTAACCGCCACGGGGATTGCACTTGATTCCGTTGTTATTAAGACAATGGGAGCGAACTATCATAAAACGCGAAATTAACATCCGATACCTTTTAATCACGGCTGATCTCAATATTTTTTATCAATACAAGATCTGTTATAAATATGGTAGAGATTAGACCATTTCTATTTCTACCATTCCCACATATGGTTCAAAGAAGGCGAAATAAGTTTTACAACTTCCTAAATTTAAATATTTCATTCCTGAGATAAATATAGAATTTATGATTTCGTATAAAATTTGATATAAATTCTCGATGTTCTTGTAATTTTGCCCATACTAATATTTATACCCTACCAAACTATGTGTTGGGGGTATTATAAGTTTGATTAGGCTCAGAAGGGCTAGGCCTATTGTTTTCAAAGATGTCCGCAATATATTTAGGGTTTGAAATGGACTAACAACTAAAAATGTTCCTGATTTTGCAGTCGTTATAAAGGTCATAAATAGAATGAACCACTATTTCAGTCTGAAAAATACCAACATTACTTACAGGCGATATCCGAAAAAAATTCATTGTCGAATATAGCCAAATATTGTAGACAAGAAAATCATATAGATGAGTCTAAATTTGGAGATACAGTGTGGCCTTTTACTTTTGGAGATGATCGCAAAATATTAGGGGTTTAAATGAATCAAAAACAGAAAAAAATCCTGATCACACAATTGAAGCCATTCGACGCGCCTGAGAAGACCGTTAAGGACTGCGAAGAAGTCTAGCATTTTGGATGAGTATTGAATTATATTTAGCTGTAAAATGGACCACAACAACTAACAGCACTACGGTGTGCGTAAATATTGGGGAAATGTCCTTGGTCAAAACGCTAAGGCTATTATCTGGGCAGTGCACCGTGACATAATTTCAAAAGCGAAATCTTCCAAAATGGATTTGGACTTAAGAGGGCTTCTAACATGTTGTAGTGTTGTAGGGTATCACACGGCTATATCCTTTGCTTACTTCTTTTATCTGTATTAGATGAAGTATGAAAATGGTATACTTCGTGTGATATTTTTAGAAATATATTTTCCAAAAATTATCACATATCTCATATAAAGTGAAGGAAGCAAACAATATAGCCAAACCTGGCACGACGCAATATTTATATCATATTTATTTAGATCAGATACAAAATGGACAATATTGGACCAATCCTTTGGAGCCTATTTCATAGAGGGTCAACAGAAGTCAGAATATATTTAAATATTCGAATAATGGCTGAGGGTATACATCTAAAGGCGAAACCAAATGATACTTTTTAACTTGTTTTTTATTTGTTTATTTATATCGGTGTTTGGTTAAATCTAAAGATAATACAAAACAAAACATGAGCTTTAGAACATGCATATTTATTTATTTATTTTTATTTATTTATTTATTTATTTTTTTTTTTTTTGGCAATCCGACTGATATTTTTGTCTTATGTCTAAAATATGTTATATTTTATAAATATTGTATTCCCATTATTAATAATAGAATATACATATAACTTCTGTGTAACCATTTCTCCATTTGCTTCCATTTTAATGCCGATTTCTTTTCTATATTTCAGCGTAAAGGAGAAAGTGCGCGTGATTTGCCGGTAAGCTTTTTAGAAGATTTATTCTACGACACAGACACTACATACTATTAGAGTTGCGTTATGACAAATTATAACAAATAAATAAAAACAAACTAACAAAGAACTCATTAGTTAAGCAGAAAACCAGAAAAAACGACAATTAACAATCAAGCAATGCAATAAACTAACAAAACTTTACTGCAATATCAAATATATCTATACATATATATATACATAACCCAGCAAACCATATTCTGTCTGAATGCAAATTATACGCAATAATAACAAAACAAAACAAATAACTATTCCAGTCCAACAAAAAATAACCAACTAATAAAATTTCCCCTCAAGAATATCTATTAACTTAAAATTAAATAAATTACTAATAATTAAATAAAAATACTTTATGAAATGCTTATTCAAATAATTTATTATTAAAACAAAACAAAAAAAAAAAAAAACAAGAACAAAATACAACAAAAAATATTTATTAAATAAAACGTCGCATGTTGAATGTGTAAAACAGAAAGTACACAGAAAAATCAAAAACTAACGGTATTTTTAATTTTTATGATTTTGTTTTTTCTAATTCTACTGTTGTTGGGAAGAATTTTTTATTTAATTTTATTATTTTTTTTTTTTTCAACGAAAATAAGCCATTAACGATTAAATTCATTTGTGTAAAATTTTATATTTATGGTTTAGTTTTTGTTATTCTATTTTTGTCGTCGTTGTTGTTGTTCTTTCTCATTTATTATTTTTAACTAATACCACTAATGTTGTTGCTGTTGTTGTAAATGTGTTGTCATAACGAACATAAAAAATAATTATTTATGTAGTTTAATATATTTATTAATAACCATTAAGAATATAACAAAAAAAAAGAAACAACCAAACTACTCAACTAATAAACATACAACAATAAACACACTCAATTATACAATGAAGACAATAATTTATTGTTTTGCAAAAAAAACCCAGAGAATAATGAACCACACAATGTAGAACACATTCGAACACACACTCTCCAAAATACTAACAACTATTTTATCCAATACTATTATTATTATTATGGTCGAATACGTTTATAACGACAAAAAGCAAATTAAAAAAATATATATTCAAAGCTTTACAAAAAATTAATAATTCCGTCCTACATTTTTTGGATATGCTACTTTTTAAATAACCGTATTCGATTATAGAATTAACGCAGAGAAAGAGTTCTTAACCATTTCATTGGGACCAATTTTCGTTAGATTTTGTGCACCAACACAGCATTGCGAATTTCGAAAGCCCTTGTTTTAAAAGGGACTCGTTGATAAGGAGACGCACCATGTGCGGCTAAACTAATTTTTAAGCCATTTAAAATCGTAAATCAATAGAAGATTGTGGTAGATATCTCTAAAATACGTATAAAAGGTGGTCAACGAACGAATTTTCAAATTTTCAAAAAATAAAATCCTTAAACAATTCTGTTACAATTTTAAAAACACCGCAGATAGTAGTTATATTGGGGTGTATACGACGTGACCTACAAAGGCATTGTTTGTCATAAGCCATTACCATATTCAAATTCGAAACTTGAAATAAACGGTGAATAATATAGCTAAAATCATCAAAATATCGTATATAGGGAGGTACTGTTATATGGGGGCTATACGAAGACGTGGACCTGCACGGAGAATTTTCTGTCATAGGCTGTAGCATCCATTACGAACTTCAAATACAACATCTCAAACAATTTCGGTGGGCATTGTACCTAAACTCGTCAAAATACCGAATATTGGGAGATACTTATATATGGGGCCTAAACGAAGACCTGGGCCTGCATAGAGAATTTTCTGTCATCGACTGTATTTCCCATTACGAACTCTAAATACGTAATTTCAAAAATTCCGGTGAATAATGACGCTAAAATCATCAAAATGCAGAATATCGGGAAATACCATAATATAAGGGCTATGCCAAAACGTGGACCTGCACAGACAATTTTCTGTCATAGGCTGTAATATCCATTACGAACTTCAAATACAAAATTTGAAACAGTTCCGGTGATAATGTCGCTAAAATAATCCAAATACCGAATATCGAGAGGTACCCTTATATGCGGGCTATACAAAGACGTGGATCTGCACAGACAACTTTCTATCATATGCTGTAGTATCCTTTACGAACGTGGGCCTACATGGCCCATTGTCACTACCAAAAGTCCTGTAGACGTAATATACATTTGAGTAGGTAGTAGTAGGTAGAGTAATTTCCACAGACTGATAGACGGACGGACATCACTAAATCTACATAGAATTTAAGGTGATCAAGAATATACAGGGTGAGATAAAAAAACTGCAACAAAGTCAAACGGCATAATTTTTACATTTTTTTTAATTGTATTGAATGAAAACAAAAAATCTGGAAGTATGTTCTTCAATTCGGGGAAGATCGATTCAGATATAGCTATATCTCTCAATATCCGATTTGAGTAAAATGCACTTCACAACAATGATATTTGGAACCAGATATCTGATACAGCTCAAAAATACATCAGGCAAATTTTTTGAGATCGGTCCGGATTTGTATATACATTTACTTTTTTTTAAATTTCATTGAATGAAAGCAAAAAATGTCGGAAATAGCATCAAATTTTAGGTTAAGTTTAGATTTGTTCGAATTTGTCACCTCTGCCACGAATTATGGCCTTTAAACGGTCAATGAAACCGTCACACGCTGCCCGAATTTTACTCTGCGGTATTTTGGCCCATTCCCGGCGATGCGCTTGCTTGAGGTGATCGACACTTTGGTATTTTTTAGAGCCCACCTTGCTTTCCAAAATACTCCAGACACAATAGTCCAGCGGATTGGTATCCGGAGATTTTGGTGGCCAAATGTAACGAGGAACCTCTTTTTGTAAGCATTCTTGAGTGGTGCGTACTGAGTGCGATGGTGCTGAGTCCTGTTGGAATGTCCAAGGTCTGCGGCCAAAATGTTTACGAGCCCAAAGCTTTAATACACCCTCCAGAATATTTTCGCGATAATATTCGGCATTTATTCTGATGCCACGATCGATTAATACGAGCGGAGAGCGACCATCGGCTGTTATGGCGGCCCACACCATTACCAGGTGCACATTTTCAGCTGACCTCTTTGGCAAGTAAACACGATCATTTTGTTTGTTTACAAACTGCTGGACAACGAATATTTTATCATCGGAGAAAATCAAATTCTTTAGTTCTTTTGAGTCTATTTTCTTTCTGTCGCGGTGTAAGTTCTTGCAGTTTTTGGAATTTCAATGGCTTCACCGCGAGCTCATTTTTCAATATTTTCCGAATGGAATATTTCGATATGTTCAGCTCACGAGCTATATTTCGGCCACTGCGACGCGGATTTCGATCAATTCACTTCTTTACTTTTCGAACCATTTCTGTTGATGTTGCTGTTTTCTTCCGTCCACTTTCTTGACGTCGGGCTACGCTACCAGTAACACCGTTACGAGCGATGGTTCGAGACACAAAAGATTTATTCACATTTAAATGGTGGAGTGCTCTAACGACAGCCACTTGTGGTTTTCCAGCCAAATATAAAGAAATCACACTATCACGCTTGAATTCCATCACGAAAAACTGGAAAATTTGAATCTGGAAAATTCTCTTCAAAATGCTTTTGTAAGCATCTAGAAAATATAATGAGCTGTCACTGAATGACAGCAGTCTGAAGTTGGGTGCAATTTCTTCATCTCGCCCTCATGTTTACTATGAGCCAAATATGTAGTCTTTTGGAGATGAATTAGAGCTCATAAAATATAAATAAACTGATTTGATATTTAAGTTTTCCCAATGCTGTAGCATGTACTCGTACTTTTGATACGATTTTCCGTAATATGCATTTTATAGCAATGGTACCCAGTACTGCCCAGTTCTATTTCCATAAATTTTGGCGGAACATAAATTCTGATATGGCTCCAATGTATAGAGTGAATTTGAGCTATTATTTATTTGGCAACACTGGTTTAAACAGCTCACGCACGTTCGTGTTTTGTCAGACATTCTCAGATGGTCCATAATTTAACCACGAATCGTCCTACACAACGCATTAATTATCCAAGTTCTCTGTAAAGAAAATTTCATCGTTTGCTCATTTTTGGCCCAAAAGGGTACTTATATAAGCAGAATTGTCAATTTTGGAATGAAGATAAGCCTGAAGAATTGCAGAAACTACCAACGCATACTATTATATGCTGGTGGCATTATTAGACCGTACTTCATCTAAGATGCTGCAAAACGTAACATAACTTAGAATGATGAGCGCTACCGTGAGATATTATCTCTCCAATTTTTTTGCCCAAAATGCAAAAGCTTGTCAAGGATGGCATGCGGTTTCAACTACACCGTGCCACATACCATACAGCACGCGTAAAAAAGGGCTTGTTGAGGGGCTAGTTCTGTGAACATTTTACTTCACGTTCGCACGTGTCCAGGTTTGTGTGATTTAACGTCTTTTGACTACTTGTTGTGGGGCTATGTTAAAGCTCATTTTTCAATATTTCAATACATGAGGCCGATTGAATTGACGCATTGGAAGATAACATTAAAGTACTTATTCCTGAGATACCGGCTCAAATGTTGAAAAGAGTTTTCAAAATTGAAGTAAGCAGATGGACGGTTTGAGGCGGTCAATATTTTCCTGAGTTGCATTTTTTAACTTCCTACAGTCTGTAAAAACATTAACTTTAAGAGGTACTTAGTGTGGAAGCTTGTTTGCTGTGTTGGTAGTCTACTCAATATGGTTAAGAACTCTCTCTCTCTCTCTATTTTTCTTTCGTAGATATAAAGACTATAGGCAGAAACTCTCATAAAAATACAATATTTTGGAAATATCCTGAAAGTGTATGGAGATTTTGAAAACAAATAACTCTATAATTAATAATCTCCATAATACGCTTCCAGAGTATTTTATTTCCACATAAATATACTAAAAGACTCGAAGTGTAGAGTTGAAATTGCATGCTTCTACTATGAGAATATCTAACATTACACAGATACTATTTTACTACTATTACTATTAAAAATCTACAATTGCTATTACACTTATTCCACTAATTTTTGTGTTAACTTTTCTCAAAATAAAGTCTTAATATTATTTAAACAAAAACAAAAAATATAGACTCTACTCGTTTGAAACACACACGTTTTTGTTTGTATTTTGTTTAGATAGTTTTCGTTTCGTTTTGATTTTGAAGTTTTGTTCTATGAGTTGTGTATTTTGTGGTTCAAGTTGAAATATTTAAAAGTTTGACGTTTTGTTTTTTATGTAAATTTTTGTGTGAGTATAGGTTTCAACAAAACATAAACCGAATGTCAATTTTTAACAAAATTTAAAGTTTTATTTTCAGTTTATCTGTCATTGCATTAAATCGATTTCATGATTTTTTTTATTCTATGGCATAGTTTGTTATTGGTATCCTGAGATTGAAATTTCTTAGAGAAGTAGGTTAGTCTATTAACGCATCCTGTAGTTGGAATCTCGGTTAATTTTTGTCATTAAATTAAATTGCAATATTATGGGGCTAATCAATGTGCATCCATTATTAAGTCTGGGGGATTACCTGGCGAACTGT